TAAAATTTAAACTTCTGCTTTTAACTTTCTGTTGGCCTTTCTCTTTTCCTCTGCTCAGGTTCTGTGGTGCATCCTAATCCAACTTCCCACTGGTCCCCCATCCAGTAAATGTCGACACCACACATCAACTCTGAACTTCATCCAACAGAAGAAGTGAACTCACGTCTCCTTTTAATTCGATTTATGGCTGTAAAAAAAAACAAGCAAAATAATATTCCTCTTTTGCATCATTTGACCTGGAGAATTTTTTAAAATGAATTTTATCATTTTTGTACAGTTTTTATGTTTGGTCTCATTACATTGATTTGTGATACAATGTCAAATATTTTAATACCCCCATTTTTGAGGGGTCCAAAAAAGTGTTTTTTATTTATGTGTAAAGTAAACAAGGACAAATGTAAACCTTTATTTTTATTAGCTGTATTCATACTTTGCTTGCCACAAGATATGAAGGCTTTGAATAGACGTTTGTTTTAAAAACAACCTAACATGTCACCCTCAGTATGTAGTGCCAAACGCAGGGATAGCAAGAAAAAAGGGAAAAAATCTCAAAACACAAAAACCTTCTCAAAAAAAGAAAATAAAGAAAAACGCAAAACAACCGTTCTGTGTGGTGTGGGTTACTCTCTGCAGCGTGCGGGGTGTGCAACAACAGTCAGCGCACGGTTCGATATGTACCTCGGGGTTCAAACAAAAACACACTGACTATACGTACTGCATTTTACATTCAACAGTCAAGTAGGCGATATAACACACTAAATGTGTGTGTGTTGTGTGAGGCACTGAATATGTGTGTATGTGTAGTATGTGTGAGGCACTGAGTGTGTGTGTAAAGGCACTCACTTGTGTGTGTGTGTGTGTGGAACTGCTCAGCTGTGTCGGCTGCTGTCAGCCTCATGTCTCATGTCAGCCGCCTCACTGGATCTGGTGGCGCCTGTGTCAGCCCTAACATCCAGGGAGTTAAACAACAATGAAGGTGATTCTCATCTTTCAAACACACATCTGTAAACATCTCCAAAAACTTTTATAAGATGTTACAGACAGGAGGTTGTTTTTCTTTTTGAAAGTTTGTTCCTATTTTATTCTGAAGCCCCGTTTACCATCAACATATTTATTTATTCAGCGTCAAATATTAACAAAAGTTATCGTAGTATTCTCTTGATAAAGAGCAGAGGTCCATACGTTAGTCACATCTGTGTTAACTCTTAATGATTTAAAGTTACCTCTCTGCAGTAATCTTTATTTATCTCTAAATCTGACTGATACGGTCACATGAAGCTGGTTATCAACCTGTTTCTCTGAGCGCGCTCACATAAAAGGGGCGGAGTCATACGTTTGAAGCCTATAGCAGCATAACTATGGTCTGCGCCTGTTCCAGCACTGACTATAAGCTTTAGCAAAAAGTTAAGTTTTAAGCCTATAGCAGCATCATTAGGAGCTGATTGGCTCCTGGTTCAGCCCTTACTATTAAAAAAAACCTGACTCTGACCCTGACAGATAGATGATTCCAACGGAGAAGGGCCCGCCTCTTAACTGAAGGCTCTACCTCCCATACTACTTTATTCATCATTTGTAGTCCTGTTAGCTTTACTGCAGAGTTCTGCTAACTCAAACTCAACACTTCCAGAATGTGTTTCAAATAAAAAGCCTACGATTGTTTTAGTTGACAGAATCATTCAAAAACAAAACTTATTGTAAAGAAATGACAGGAAGTTATTTTTGTAAAACTCGGTTAAAAAAATCATCAGATTTTTATTTTATTTTGATGAGCTCAAAACCCTTCAGTTGTCACTTCTCAATATTCTCCCTTCCTGTTCTCCATTTGGACCTGCCCGTTCACCTGCCCGTTCACCTGCCTGTACAACCTTGTTCAACCACCTCACCTGTGATAGGAGGATTATTTCAGCCAATGAAAAAACAGATTTTCTTTTGGCTTTGAGGGACTCTGAGTTTCTTCTGAAACCACACACACAACACACACAACACAACACACACACACAACACACACAACTACACAACACAACAAACACAAACACAAACATATTACACACCTATTACACAACAAAAAAGTCAACATAGTACAATAAACAAAAAAAACCATCAATACCAGACACTAAAACCACCAAACAAAGCAACATAAAAGATAATACACACACAGTGAGTCGTCCCCCCCCCACACACACACAGTGAGTCCCCCCCACACACACACACACACACACACACTCAGTGCGAGTGCTGATGTAAACAGTCTGTGTCTCGTCAGGTTAATTAGTCTTGACGAGCTGCTCAGTTTAATCCTCCTTCCTCTGTCACATCGACCAATCGGAGCTGCTGATGTCATCCTCTCCCCTCCCCCACCTGTTGTGTGTGTGTGTGTGTGTGTGTGTGTGTGTGTGTGTGTGTCAGTCTGTGTTCAGACTCTTTGTGTCAGACTGGTTGCCGCGGCAGCAGCAGTGTGAGGACGGCGCTCGTATGAAGCGTTGCTGTGTTCCTCTGAGAGCCGACCACAACCTGCTGACCCCCGACACACACACACAGTGAGTACCATACACACACACACAGTGAGTACCATACACACACACACACACACAGTGAGTACCATACACACACACACACACACACACACAGTGAGTACCATACACACACACACACACACACAGTGAGTACCATACACACACACACACACACACACACACACACACAGTGAGTCCTAAACACAGAGACACTCAGTACTGTATTGTATACTGTATATTATTTGTTTGTTGTTTTATTTTGTTAGTGAGTTTGTTAGTTCCATCAGTTAATTAGGTTGTTAACTTTTGTTATTGTGAGTTAATTGTCTAGTTTACTAGTTTGTTTGTTTTTTTAGTTAATCAGTAATTTGGTTAGTTTGTTAGCTTGGGGTAGAGGTCACAGTGGACTTGACCCCACACACTTCACACTTTCTGTGTGGCGACTGTGGACACACACACAGCTGGGGGGTTCGATCCCCAGCTCCTGTAGCTACATGTCCGATGTGTCCTTGGTCAAGACACTTAACCCCAAGTTGCTCCCCCTGCTTTGTCAGCAGTGTATGAATGTGTATGCTTGTGATGGTCACTTTACAGAGCAGCCTCTACCATCAGTGTGTGAATGTGTTGGTGGGACGGTGTAAAAGTGCTTTGAGCTATACAAGCCTGAGTCCATTTACCTGTTCAGATTTACCTGTTCAGATTTACCTGTTCAGATTTACCTGTTCAGATTTACCTGTTCAGAGTTAGGCCGTGTTCACACTTGACTTCTTTTCTCAACTGCCTGCGCCTTTTTTTACATACAAGCCTATAGAAAAAGGAAAAAGGATGACACCTTTCTCAGTTGAATTATTTCAACTTTTCAGAAAAGCTCTGGGTGACGTCAAGGGCCTTTCTGACAGCTGACCAATCAGGACGAGTAGTAACCTACGTCCCTAGTTACCTGTGCCCAAAAACTGCAAACTTCCACCAGATATGTGCGCTTTGCGTGTCCGCTCCGGTTCCTTTTCTCCTCATCCGTCAACACCCAGCGGCTGTGATCTCAGTCTGCAGCACGGAGAGCTCAGCCGGACAGATGGAGTACGGAGACTTACCGCGGTAATTTAACAGATTCACTCGTGACAGCACGAGATTATACGATGTTCGTGGTATAAAACTCAATAAAACCTTATAAACACACAAACAAACACAAACGGTGGTTTTTCTGAACCATCAAAACGGAGGGTTTTATTCTGAAAATAAACCGGATGTTTTAATGTTGTATCGGTGTCTGACTTCCCGTCCTGTTTGTTCTTTTCTGTGCTAAATTGATGCTTTGTGCTCCGGCCGGCTCAGGCGCGGTTGCACCGCAGGCTAGATCCTGTTGTTATGGTTACAGAACACTCGCGCATAAGCGCTGAAAGCCAGTGTGAACACCTGTTACCTGTTCAGAGTTACCTGTTCAGATTTACCTGTTCAGAGTTACCTGTTCAGATTTACCTGTTCAGAGTTACCTGTTCAGATTTACCTGTTCAGATTTACCTGTTCAGAGTTACCTGTTCAGATTTACCTGTTCAGATTTACCTGTTCAGAGTTACCTGTTCAGAGTTACCTGTTCAGATTTACCTGTTCAGATTTACCTTCACAGGTAAGGTTGAGGTTTAATGATGATTTTCACCTGTTCAGTAAAATGATTGTTGGTCTCTCAGCAGGTCGGGGGTCAGGCTGCATCATGCTATCCAATGGAAATCAGAGGGAGTGGCCCCTCAATCAGCACGCCTGCATGACTCCCCGAGCAGCGAATCAGCTCAGACGCAGCGACGCCCCCCTGTGGCGACTCTGCCTCGCCGTCTGCGATTCGAGGACGAGACAGAGACAGAGGCCGAGTTTCGTTACCTGGAGCGACAGCAGCAAAGGAGACGCACGGGGCAGCGAGGGTCGGGCGTCCTAGTCTCTAAACCGGACCTCAAGCTGTATGCCAATGGCAACATGAGGGCGGGGCCACAGGGGGCGGGGCGTGTTGTGGAAGGAACGCAGAGAGGACGGATGTCGGGGGGACAGTCGGGACAGTCTGACTCCCACAGGACAGTAATAGGAGGCGGAGTCAACCTCAACCTCTATCGACACCCACCTGTAGCTGAAGAGCGGGGGCGGAGTCAGTACAGGCCCTGCCTTAACCTGCGGACTGAGCCAATCAGAGAGACCTACATTGGCTCTGTCACCTGTAGTGAGACCTGCAGGGCAGGGCCTGTAGCTAGAACCAACCAAGTGGAAGTTAATGGAAACCATGTGACAGTTCCTCCTCAGGCCACACCCACCACAGACCTGCCAATAAACCCCTACGACCCCAAGCAGCTCCCCCCGCCCACTCAGCCTTCAAGGTCTCCATCACCTGGCCCTTTGTGCCACCCGAACTTGTCTCCTCCTCCGGTGACATCAGAGATGATGTCACAGATCATAATGATCAACAGCCCCAAGGCGACAAAGAACCTGAACCAGGAGGTGCAGAGC